TACATGTCATATTTAGGTCCGGAAAAAGTCATAAAAAAAAAAAAAAAAAATCTGGAATATACCTCCGGGAATCTAACCACGGACCCTATTGGGACTTATTGTGACCTAAAACACATAACGCCTAACCACTAGACTTTTACTTACTGATTTTTGAAAATTTAGAATTTCATAGATATATAAAAGTTATAAAGTTAATTTCAAAATATAACTGTGATGTATTGAAGATGGGGCCAAAATGAGACAAATAAGAGGTAAATAAAAATAGGTTATAATAAGGTAAATAAAAATGCTTCTTAACAGGTCATATTGGTTAACCATGAATTGGGAATAAAATAGGCGATACCCAGGAAATTTAAAATGATATCCAACAGGAAATTTCTAATAGATATTAATTGGATACTGAACAGGAAGTTCTCGAGACGTTGTTAGGGATACCATCACAATGGTAAAATCGATGATATCAATTTTTGGCCTTAGTATAAAATATTGCACTATACTGTCATATAGAAATTGCATGATATACTTCATTTATGATAGGGACGATTGTATAGGGACGCATATAAAAGCGCGGAATGTATTTGTGCGGAATATTAATTTCCGAAATTATTATTTTCAAACTGTATTTGTACGGATTATATGTTTCCGGAATGTATACACTAGGACTTTATTTTACCGGAAACCTTATAAACCCGGATTGTATTTTTCCGGAAAAAAAAAAATTGCGAACCATAGTCACGGACCGTAAAACCCTGTACTTGAAAAATATGCAAAATGTATTTGTGCGGATTGTCTGTTCCCGGATTGTGAACGCTCGGACTATATATTGTCAGAAAATAAATTATTAATCACGAACCGTAACCTCGGAATCTTGGAAAACGTTGGTACAATATTTGCATTCTCAGATATACACAACTGGGCGCTTATAACCAAACCTTATAATGCCCGTATATCTCTCTACCTTAAACACGCGTTCAGATTCGTAGCAGAACGAGGAATGTTTTGGTTTTACAATGATGTTTATTTCTTTTTCTTTTTTTTACACTGTGAATACATTTTATCCTAGAAAACTTGCTCCAGTTTAAAAATTACAAGATTTCGAACTTGTTCCTTTGAATATCTAGTCACTGACAGAAAGAGTCATTATTCGATATCCAAAGTAGTTTTCATAATAATTGGGATAAACCGAAACATACGATTTTTTTCAAATTCCGACGCAACGATTTCATTATTTTAAATGTTTAAATTTATAATATTTTTCTACTAGAAATCTTTATCCACATTTCAAAAAAAGGATATTATCCGAAAGAAAATGTTGTCTAATTTTCTAAGTAAGAATGTCGTTAGATTTTCTATATAGTTTTTCTATTAATTACGAAAATCGGAATAAAAACATTGAAAATACGACATTTGGTGTTTTGTTCTAATTCAGTTAATAATATTTGTAGAGATCTGTAGTTTTCACAATATACTTATATTAGCTTTTTGTAGATGTAGAGAAAGTTTTCAAAACATTCTAGCTCTTTTTATGCGACTTACAGGTTTTTTGATAACTGCTTGTTTTTATATGTATTTTTGTTTGGTAGGTATGGTATCTGTAATTCAAATTTTTAATTATAATATAAATTAGAGAAATAATAAAAAATTTAACACAAGTTTTATTACAAGTTATACTTACAGGTCAAAAAAAGAAAATTTTAGTTTCTATGTAATTCCAAATTAGAATTAGTATTAATAAGTAATAACTTATTAATGGGTGACTTAAATGAACATAAGTTGGTTAGACTAGCTTTCAAACATGTTGGTGAAATATTATTTTCCGTCAGAAGAAAGTGGGGATGATGGTTTTGACTTTGAACTTACTGTACCGTTTGTAACTGCCAAAAATGTAATATCTAGAATGCAAAATTATCTTGATACTATATTATATCTCGATCCAACGAAGGATAGGTCAAATCTCATTTTAGATTTTAAATTTAGTTATTGTTCATAAATAGTACTTGATTTCTAAAGTGTAAGTTAACCCGTGATCGGATACGATGCCTCCGCCACCTCGACAACACGGCTGTCCGGCAACGAGCAATTTTTCGCAAGTTTTTTGTCTTCAATCGAAAATATCCGTTGAACGACAACCAATATCAACAATCACAGTAGCTAGGTAGTTTAGGCTTGAATATATTTAAATAATTGATTTTTCGCACTCAAACGCTGTCACTAATACCTACTATAAGTCTACTTCGCTTAATTTAGCAATGTAATAACCTTAAAGGTATTTTTCGACCGGAAAATATTATAGGTACTTTTGCAACATCTAAACGTTATCGTTCTACATTTACCACAACCCACTAATAACACATGATAATAGCTCGAGGTAAATCTACTGAATGATATAATATATTATCTATATTATAAAATAATACATTATAATAAAATTTGTCTTAATCTGCGGTAGAAACTTGATTTATTAAAAGTTAAAACCATGGCAATCTCACAAACAGCTGTAGCCGGGTATATTAGAGCTAATTTAAATAATATAATTATAATTAAAGTCGAACGGTCGACATTTTTAATATTATGATTCCATACAATTTTTCCAATATAAAAAAATGTAAAAATGGTCTTTACGTAATTTCTATAGTGTGCATTGATATCTACTGTAGTCATAGATAATAATTATTTTATTATATATGCGTAAAATCATTATGTGCCATTACCAAGTTTGATAGCATTGGTTTTACAATAAAGGTTTTTTAATTTTCTATTTTTTATACTGTGTACAAAAATTCTATCAGAAATCTTGTTACAATATATACAATGGTACTGTTTTCCGAAAGGAAATTTTCTTGGGGTGATACTTCAAAAGGTAATATTTTGATTTTCACGGTAGTTTCCCCGATAAAATGAAAAAAGTGAGAAAAGACATAAGAAAAACGGGAAAATTACGAAAATAATGCCTTTATTATTTTTTCAATTTTGTTAATTGTTAAAATTCAGTTAAACATATTCATATTGACTCCATGGAATTTCTGTCTAAATTTAAACAGAAAACTTATGCTTACATTCTCTAGACGTGGTAATGATTTCAAAAAAATTAAGCCATTTTTGAGCTATTTATAGACATTTTAATTTTGCAAGTTTAGTATGTAATTTTTATTCAGTAGATGCCCTGCGGTAAATTTGTGAGACTTAACAGAAGTGCTTGAAAATTTAACAGGAGGTTCTTTAAAAGTTTTATTTTATGATAAAAATGAGTTTAATTTAGTATTTTTATAAAATAATTCTAATATCAAATTTTGACGAAAACCATTATGAGTAAAAAATTAAGTGAAACAAATCTAATTTAATTTTCAATTTTTTTTTCCAAGGAGTTTTCTCAATATATTTATAAAACCGAAAAAAAGGTACACTATTAAACAAATATTATTAATTATTATCAATTCGAACTCTATTTATTTATGAAAGTTACTATTAAATCATATGTTTGTTGATCACATTTTTGGTTAAGTCATAACTGATAAGCTTTAAACCACGTTAACCTGCTTGTTATAAGTGAGCCTTAATAGCTTATTAGTTAGTATGTCAATAAATGAACACATTCCATTGGACGTTGACGATATATTTGATGAACTAGCAAAAAAAAAAAAAAAACAAGAAAACTTAAAATTTTGTTATAAATTATCAATTATTTAAGTTTTATTAAAATATATTAAATGTGCGTTTTCTCGCTATTATTGATAAATATCCATATCGCCCCTCCAAAAAGGTTCTAGTTACGCTACTGCCCCCTTCCTAAACGGGCATCAGATAGTAGATTAGTGCTAAAATAGAGAATATTTAGAAAACTAACTCTAATAAATCTTAATACTTGTTATTAAAAACAATTACGAGAACGTTTGAAAATCAAAAGGATTTATTTTAACCGCAAAAATAAGAGTGACTAAAATAATAGTAATGTAACTCCTTAGAGCTAATAATTTCTTAAGTTGTCAAAAAAAAAAAACCTAAAAAAGTTAGTACTTTCCGAAATAATGAGTGTCTTATAGATTATATAATATAGAATGATACTGTCTGTATAGGGTTTGGTAATAAGCGATCGGGACTAGCAACGGTACGTGAAACTACTTATATTTTTTCTACGAAATCCAGTTCTTATTTAAGGGTTCTTAATCTAGTTTTCCGGAATCATAAGGTCTATGACTATACTTTTTATTTCCAAAAACATATAATCCAAGTTCATAAGGTTTCCAGTAATATACAGTTCATAATGTTTACAATCCGGGAACTAATAATCCATACGTTTTGCATGTTTTTCGATTCCATATTTTTACGGTCCACAATTTTTTTTTTTTCGCAACTCTACATTCCTTAAAAATTCATTGTTTTTCCGGAATTATATAATCTGAATATTTCCGAGATTTTACGGATTTCCGATGGTAGGTGATAGTAGGCAAGAAGTGTACGGATGAAGTGAAATGGAAAACGTTGTAATGTATTTTAAATTATTTTATACATAATTAATACGATTTCTGAATTTAGATACAAGCCAATTTATACTCAAATTAATATTTTATAATGTATTTTTTTCGAGGGTAAAATATATCGGCATGTCTACTCGGAGAGTGAAAATGTTATAAACATAATAAAAAATGTATACACGCTTTTCTATACACTTATTATAGACTTCAGTTTTTTTTACAACTTATGTTTATTGAGTGTGAATTTTTGATGATGATAATAATAGTTTTCTAAGACCAATACGGTTCTATTATTATTAGTCACGTAGTGCATTAGAATGGGGGTTAGTCAACTGAAAATATTTTCTAAACCTCAAACCCAAAACTCGTAAACATTTATAAAATTATTTTTGAAAATCAAATATTTGTTCCAACGAAATAAAAGTTTGAGAACGTATAGGTTGTGGTAGGTAGGTAAAAGTAAAATGAAAACAAAATGCAATAGTAATAATAACGCGGTGAAAAGGTGTAGAATTAAAAGAGTATCAGCTGTAGAGTATTTTAATCGCCACTGGATTATGTGAACCTGTGAAAGAGCATAATGTAAATCTGTAGAAGTACATAAAATGTCTGTAAACATGCAAATATTACATGATACGGCGGTTTTCTGCCTTTCGGAGGTGACAAAGAGGTAGTGTCGATGATTCGTCACGACGGTGGAATAAAAGGAAAAAATCTTAATAAAACTTTAATGTGCTTTTCACCCACCTACCTCGAAGTTTCCAATGCAGTTCCAGTGCAAGAATATTATAAAGGCGATGAACACATTATTTTTGGACTTAAACCATTCATGGTGTAAAATCCCATAGGAATAACATCTGCAAACTTTTTCCGATTCATTTTGATTTTATTTTTTTTAACAATGTTTATACTATAACATTATAGTATATAGTATACCTGCTCTCATAGTATCCCGTATTACCCTTTCCGGAAACCTAAGGAGGGTCTCGTCGATAGATAATGACGGAAAATGGGTCCACTCTTCAACACCGTATCTAGTATAAAATAATGTATATTATTATAAGTACCTATAGGTTGTATGCTCAAAGTTATAGTAGAAACGAAAACTGATATTCAAACTATATCTACGTAGTTTAAAAATAAATTTCATTTTAAAATTTTGTTAGGATGACACAACCAGTTAAACGTGTAATAGCAAAACATCTGTGTGAATTGTAAAGACATATATTTTGCACAAAATGTTTAAGACATTTCACTAGAATATTTTTTGTTTATTATTTAATATTATTGTTATTATGTAGAGTTCAAAATCCATTTTCACTTAATTTACAATTTCACCTATTAAAATAATGTAGTATTGTTATAATAATAATTGATTTCGATATAATGATAATATCCAAACACAGCGTTCATTTTTTTTTTTTTATGTAAATTTTAAAAAATTGAGAGGTTATATCTATTGGTTTAAATATAAAATTACATTTTCAATGAGTAAATTTGACTTCGGTGCCTACTAGTCCTAATGATTGGTATTAGTAAAATTTTATAAGTAATCAAACGGATATTTTGAAAATTACAATGAGAAGGGTTTTAATATCAATAATATTCATGGAGAAATTATATTTATATATATAATATTATGAGAAATAGAAAACGATGCGTTATAAAAATTTAAAAAAATTTAAAATACTTGCATGTATTTCTGAGACCAATTAACACTATATTTTATATAAAATCCATTTAAGATTTTAAACGATGGAATTTCAATAAACTAAATACATTTATTTAATCGGAAAATTATAAATGAAACAGCGCCTCACATGTTTCATTTGGTGAGCCGCCACACATTATTATATTATGAAATCGTACGATAATGTATTATATTAATAATATTTTTAAAATCCTACCATTTCTTTACACCATAAAGAATAGCACATAATATTATAACATCAACTTTTGATTTTCAAATAGCAATACACGTCGTTTAATTATAGGATTCGTGAAGAGACATGTTTGTTTGTTCAAATTTTATATGTAAAACAATTTGGCGTCATGGACTGGAATAATACTCGAGGGGGATTATCTCTTAACATTATTATGATTTTTATTGTTATTTCAGATTCTGAGCAGAACGAAGATTGTATTGATTTTACAGTGAGGTTTATTTTATTTTATTTTTTCTGTGGGCAACTTTTTTACCAGCAATTTTACTCAGATTTTCAACTGTAGCATTTTTTCTGGTAAGAAACTCGACTGGGGTGGTATATTATTTTTAATTTTCCCAGAGGTTTTCACGATAAACGACCGCGAAAAAAACGTACGAAAAACTGGAAAATGTACAAAATATATTATTTGCAAAATATTACTGCATTTTTAATCATAAACACATATAACCGAACTCCAATCAGAATTGTTTTTTATTAGCAAAGACTAATCTTTGCATATAGATTTACATTAAATTTCCCTCTATATCCTACCCTCCCAACTTCTCACCTATCGTACGCATTATGTCAGTATCTTTTTTTTAATTAACTTTCATTCGGTTATTGGTTACGAGTTATTAGAATCACATATTGATGATAAATACTGTATAGATAATTCGAATCAGTTTTGAATCGTTATTGTATTTAAAAAAAGTTTGAATTTCATAAACGCGTCGTATTTTACTATAAAATAATACAATGTCTATGCATCAGCTCTTATAATAATGATTATTATTATTATTTAAACACAACGCACGCCGTCTCTCGGTCAATACTTTCCCTTTGTCCAGCCCTTTATTGTCCCCGTTAGCCCTCTTTGTACGACGCTATTATATAATATATACATATACATATACAGACGACGTGATAAATATTTTTCCACAATGTTCGGTATTTTATGAACCTTTGAAATCGTCATATTTAACGTAAATATAATATGGATGTAATTATGTATAGGTTGATAAATTTATCATCTACAATAATAATTTCCCGAATTATTGTTTACTTTAATAAAATATGTATGCATTTACCATTCATCAATAAATCATAGTGTTTTATGTTGTCACGGGAAGAACGGCTTAAGTAATTTTTCTATCGTTTTTAAAACAATGTAAAAATGTTGAAAATATAATGTACACTCTCACCACTTAGACCGAAAATAATGTGTAATTTTACACATGAAAAAATTATTAAAAAAAATTGACAAACCCTTCCCTGGCACCAAAACTATAATATTTAGGTTTGTGTATTATTTCACTAGAGAATCAGCTAAACCAATCAATTTTTTCCAAATGTTTGTTTTTCGATGCATAAATATTTGATCGAAAATATACAAATAATTTTGAAAAATATTTAAAAACTATTCGAATTCTTTACAATTCCGTTTATTGTGATTGAATTGATATTATAGATTGTTATAATATTCCATTATATCAATTCCTCCAAAAGTGAACACAATAATATGTTGTTTATTCTTGTATAAATTATATAAAACAAGTTTTAGGCCGGTGTTGTTGATACAGCAAGGACTATAACATGCCTAATCTTTGAGCTAATATTTAGAACCTTGATAATTTTGAAATAAACATTTAAATACCGAGGTTTTAGCGATCATGTGAGTTTGACATAATTATTCTGTATACGCACGCGCATCCTTAATATATTCGTTGAATATTTACGTTTTCGCACTCTTGAGAAAACTCCGATTTAGTGGGTTGTAACCGCTTCACAAAACATTTATAGTGCCACACCACAGTAATTCCTCAATAATATAATTATTATTAATTAGAGTGTCAGATTTTGGCGCGGTATTTTGAACCCCTTCACCCTACACCCCTCGAAAAAAAACAATTCGTAAATATGGCATTCTTTCGGTCCAACCGTCTGCCGCTAATACTCTTTAATACAACCGTTAATTATCGTAAATAAATATATAAATAAACAATGCAGTTGCCTGGAGTATTATGATAAATGTAAAATACAACCGGTTCTGAATTAAAAAATCATCATCAGGTATATCACAGTCAAATTATAAAACGTGACTAGATGTATCCATTTTCAAGGAACATCGAAATACATCGGATTTCCAACCCGATTGATCATCGAGTCTCTTGAGGAACAAACTGTATACCTCGTTAACGTCGTAATGGTCACCGCCTTTCACAATAATTCACAATTCGAATCTACCCGAAATTTCTTGGTAGATATTAGTATAGATAAATATGATATTGCGTTGTTTGAACTATATGGGAAAATAAATAGTGAAAGCAACAATAACCTTTAGTTCTTACAATAAACATTTTTTTTTTTGTTAAAGTTACAGACAGTCATATTTTCTAGATTTTTAGGTTTAATTTAATTTTAACAACAACGGTTTAATTTAACGTGTACAATATATATGTATAAATAAACGTAAATATATATGTAAATAAACATCGTATGTTGTTTTAAGTTTATAACATTAAAAAAAGTATTTTTTTATTCATCCAAAGTTTTATTAAATTATATTTAGCGTACTGCAACAGTTGCGTTGAATAAAAATAATTCTTTAAATTTTGACAAACGCAAAATAAATGTAAATATATTATTAAAATGAAAATAAAAGTTTTTTATAGATCACCGTGTTAAAACTGACTGACTGATCTATCAACTCGCAGTTTAAATTACCAGGGTTAAAAACTTTACATTTTGAATATAGGTTCTTTTTATAACGTCCACTAAGAAAAAATTTTTGGAAATTCTACCCTTAAAAAGGTAAAACAGGGGATTAAATTTTCTATTAAAATATGTAATTTGTTTAAAGTAGATTCAATGAAAATTGATATTTCGACTGTCTATTATAAACTAAAGAGTACGTGTGGTTTCGAAAATTCTACCCCTAGAGAGAGAGAGAAATAGGGTGTAAACTTTTTAAAAATAATTTAGTTTTAGAGTCATAAAAAACCACTATTTTAAGCTTTAAACTAAGTTACTACATACATGTAGTACGTTTCCATTTCTGCATACTCTATCCCATAAGGGTGAAAATAAAAGATTAGTTTATACAGTTTACACTGTACACACACTAAACTATATACATATCATTGGTGCGACCATTATTCAAAACTTAAGTCTTTAGAAAATCAATTTAATTAAATTTGTCTGTACCTTTTCTGGGCATATACAAAACTTGTAAATATAATTGAAAATGTTTAACATAGTTATGAATAAACGAAAATTAAAAATTGTCTTATTAAACAAATTTTAATTGTATTAATAACTGTATGATTTCAACAACATCAAAATTATATATGATATTAAAATAATGTTTAACTATTTTTTAAATGTACGTCAATTATAGAAATATAATTATAGAATACTCCTATAGTGTAAAATTAAAGCGTCTCTTTTTTGGTTACCTAGTATAATTATAACTTTTATGTGTAATTTGAAAATTGTAATTTGCACTTCTGGATGTATAGTAAGATTATGAAACTCGTTATACCTAATTTCAGACATAGTGTCCCTTAAATAATTTGTAATTCCTTTTAAGAGATGAAAAAGTTCGACTTCACTTAATGTAATTTTCGGACCACACATTATTATTTAAAAGGTAACAAGCAAATGCTATGATAAATATTCGTCTGTTTCCCGGGTATTGTGTACAAAATTAGAGAACACTTTAATTACGATTGCTGTCAGAGTTATTCTTTAAAAAGCAAAACACTTTTTGCTATTTTAAGTACTTATCATTTTTAAATCGTTCTATATTCTTACCTACAATTATGTAGCTATTACAAAATATGTCGTGTATGTTTATGAACATTATACAATTTTTAAGCAAAACCAATCTGAAATTATAT